TGTGATTGGTCCTTTCTTAAGCTTCCTTCTGCAGTTGATGTGTTTCTGTATTTGATTCTTTTAAACTTTTATGCTTCTTGGTCCCTTCCCCCTTTTCATTTGACCAGTCCATCTCACAACATGTTCCTTGGTTTTTTTATTCCCCAGAACATACATCATCAGTGCCATCATTGCCTTATTTAAACTATTTGGGTTGGCTTTATAAATCCTCACTTTCCATTCATTTTATTTGAGCATGATGAATTCTCACTTTTATCATTTGTGCTGAGCAGCTCATAAGGTGTTAACTATATTCTGTGCAAGTATTTTCGTACAGCTTTTAGCCTTCTTTTCGTTGATTATGCCTTTTTTTTTTTCATTGTAATCCTTCTACATCTTTTTAGCGCATACTGCATTATACATTGCAAGACCTTGATAGGAAATACTTGAAATCAAGTATTTCCTATTCACTTTTACAACAGCTCTCCAAGCAAACTGCTGTCCACAGCAGGAAAACAGCCAAAAACAGTAGGAAAACAGGAAAAAACTGTAAAAAAACGGAGAAAAGACTTGTATTTTACTAGTAGTTGCAAGGAAAACAGCAAAGATACAATTGATCCTCAATTCGAGAGGAGGATCGATCTCTCCCAAATCTCTAGACACCGCTAGAGCCCAAAGAAACTAAAATCTACGAGATCTCAAATTTCAGCCAAATTCAAGATACTCAAACACTAGGAAAAACAACTATTTAATGCATACAAATCAAAAGGAAATCCCTAAACAGTCCCTACATTCAAATTCCCCTCTTAATCTCCCCAAAAAACCTTCCTATTAGGCTCCCGCACTGCTAACGGCTCGCGCGGCCTCCGCCCAGGCGAGAAATTTCGCGTGTTTAGCGTCTGGGCCGGTCTCGCATGGACCGGCTGGACCGGTCCGCTGGACCGGTCTAACAATACTCCCCTCCCGAAAATCCACCTTGTCCTCAAGGTGGAGATATGCTCGTGTTCCAGTGGAGGTGGCCATCCTTGAGGTGACTGAAAATCCTTACTGTATTGCTGAACCAAAGGCTGCACGGAAAGAGACACATCCCCTCCCTCCTCCATCCTGATCACATTCAGCTTGTGTAGTCCCACCATATAGTCTTCCCCCACCTCTTGCATATCCTTGACCATGGTCTTAAGTGATGTCATGGCTTTGGATAGCCCTGCATCTCCCCTTATAACCACCTTTCTCCCCTCCACCATTAATTCCATCGTGAGTGCTCCCCAATTGTCCTTGGTTTCCCCCAAGGTTGCAACCACTTCATCCCCAGGATGACATCAGTGCTTCCTAAGTCTAGTGGGAGAAAGTCCTCCCTTACTTGAATCCCCTGGATGGTCAACACCACTCCTTTACAGATCCCTTGGCCTTTCTCCACCTTCCCTGTACCCATCATCACCCCATAACAACCGGTGTCCACCAATTTTACTCCCAGTTGGTTGACAACCTGAGTGGAAATGAAATTATGGGTAGCCCCACTATCAATTAGCACCACCACCTCACGGTCAGCTATCTCTCCTTTCACTTTCATAGTATGACTCGGAGTGAATCCCACTACAGAGTTCAGAGAGACTTCTGCCACATCCAGGTGCAACTTCTCCTCCTCTCCAGATCTGCTCCCACCTCCCTCCTCGTCTTCCTCGTCTTCACAGACAAGGAGAACATGAAGAGTTCGGTCCTTGCACCTATGCCCTGGCATGTACTTCTCATCACATCTGAAGCACAACCCCTTTGTCCTCTTATCCTGCACCTCCTCCTCTGTCAACCTCTTGAAATTTTCCCCACTCCCTCCTCCTACTGGCTTCTCTCGGGTGGTCTCATTACTGTTGCCTGATGCAGGCCCCTTGGGTGCTAGAAGAGTGGTCGTCGTCCTGTAAGAGCCTCCTGAATGGTTTCCCCGATTCCCTCTTTCAGACTTCTTCTGGTCCTCCACCAACTGGGCCAACTCCATGTGATTTCAAGGAATTTTTCCTCCAAATCTGCTTTTAATTGGCCAAATTCGCCTTCTAGGACTTCAATCTTCTTTCCGGCCATCTTTCTTTCTTCGAGTCACAAGAAATCTTCCTCCGAATGCCAAAAAACCTGCTGAAATTTCAGGATTTCAGCCGCCGATGGTCCCAAAAACGACGCTATGATACCAATTTGATAGGAAATACTTGAAATCAAGTCTTTCCTATTCACTTTTACAACAGCTCTCCAAGCAAACTGCTGTCCACAGCAGGAAAACAGCCAAAAACAGTAGGAAAACAGGGAAAAACTGTAGAAAAACGGAGAAAAGACTTGTATTTTACTAGTAGTTGCAAGGAAAGCAGCAAAGATACAATTGATCCTCAATTCGAGAGGAGGATCGATCTCTCCCAAATCTCTAGACGCCGCTAGAGCCCAAAGAAACACCTAAATCTACGAGATCTCAAATTTCAGCCAAATTCAAGATACTCACCCTAGGAAAAACAACTATTTAATGCATACAAATCAAAAGGAAGTCCCTAAACAGTCCCTACATTCAAATTCCCCTCTTAATCTCCCAAAAAAACCTTCCTATTAGGCTCCCGCACTACTAACGGCTCGCGCGGCCTCCGCCCAGGCGAGAAATTTCGCGTGTTTAGCGTCTGGGCCGGTCCCGCGTGGACCGGCTGGACCGGTCCACTGGACCGGTCTAACAGACCTCTACGGTTTTTTCTTCATGACCTGATATGCAATAAGATGCTATTTCTACTATCTCAGTATAACATTATTCATTTCATCCATCATTTCTAATTTTCCCATACGCACATCCAAACTTTCTCATTTTTGCAACACTAAACTTGACAATCAATGATTTTTTTTACTAAATAACACTTAAGTCCATATAACAAACCATTTAATTGCAATATATTAAATTTATCAACTCTCCATGCATACATGTTAATAACATAAAATAGCATGCACTAACAGACCCACGTTATTTTTCTTGGCAAGTCTGAACAAAGAAAAATATTGTGCGCCATGTTCGATGCTAAACATATCATAATGAGTGTTTTTTTTTTTTTTTGCTAAATTCAATTCTAATGTTAATGCAAATGTATTTGTTCTACCATTTAACTGAAGCAACATTGCTAGATTTTTAGTTAAGTAGAGATCTTTATCCTCCTTCACGTGCGGGGTTTTAACCTATTGTGCTCAAGTGTTACATATTAATTTGCAAGGCAGAGCTTATACAATGCTATGCAATGATTTTTTTTGTTTTTTTATTGAGGAAAGATTTTATGCTTTTTTATTGATGCACTGATGATGGAAATATGAAAGCATAATTGCATCGAAATCATAGAAGGTGATGATTTATGTGCTTTATATCATTGCTCTTCATTTTCTTTTGGTTATTCCATTTAAAACATGCCTATGATGATTTCTATATGCATGGAATGTGTTATCCAGTATTTTGAGAAGTCTGGGTGTCAACTTGATGTTTCATGGTTTTAGCCAATATATTGAATTCCAATCAGCACCTGTAGGAGTTTAGAATTACCAGTGTTTATTGCCATTCACCACTGTTCATATTTCCTCAATGTACTGTTGCAATTCCATCATACGTTAAATGTCACCGTGTTTACAAAATTTCCTTACTGGAGACATGTTGCTAGTTGAATTTGCATTGTCTATTTCCCGCATATGTATTGTTATCGACTTGCTTGTTTTCCTGTTGGGTTGTTGTTGCACAATCAACACCTTCCAACTACTTTCCTATTGCTTTATTGTGCCTCCTTATGACTCCTGCCATTCCAAATATAGTCCTGCACTGCCATCGTGCTCGGGGTCCTCTATTGCTCACCGCTTAAGGAAATTTTACTCTTTTGTTGGATGTTTGACACAATTATGAATGTGAAATTTATGAAAAAAGTTTATACTATTTGAATTCATGCCATATGTATTAAAATGTTCTATTTTCAATATATTTTTATAGATTTTGCGTAGTTTCTTATTTTGAGTTTTTTGAAGCACATAAGTAGGACCCTTGAGGCACATACAAATCATTTAATATTGAATATTGAAATAAAGTGTCAGTTCTTCTCTCTTCACATTTGCTTGTTGAATGTGAGTTAAGTTATTCAAAAGCGTGGATAACTACTTCTAGAGGGAGACTCCTTGTATTAGCACGAGGCTTAGTTGTTCCTTTTTGTGTGATTTCCATCAATATTCTTATCTCTTTTAATAGTTTGGTTGCTAATTTTATGAGAGTGATTGAGATTTTGTCGAGATAAATGCAATCTACACGTTATGATTTTTTTTTTTTTTGGTTTCATATTGTATCTCATCCTAGGTTTATTAGAAATCATGGACCTTTAATTATTATGTATCAAATTGGTATATAGCCTAGGTTAGTGCTTACATGTCACTTAAAAGTTCGGCTAGTTATTTAAGTCATTTGATAGATCACCAAAAAATATTTGACAAAATTGATCAAATGAGTTACTAACAAAACAAGATCAACCAAGCAGAACCATAACTTGGATTAATGAGAGTCTTGGAACGTTCAAAACTAATCAACTATACACACAAGAGCCGAGTAATGAATTTAACTCAAATGAAGAACCTATTTATAACACCATTAGGAAATATGAAACTTATCATGGGAGACATAATCAAGATATATATGCTGTGGGGAATATGTTAATGAAATTATAATCATCATTCATGACAACCTTATGACATGATTGAGGATGTAACAAGGAAAGTTAAAGAGGATGCATTTATTTATGATGAGAGGATAGGTTCTAATGCTTTCTTGGATTAGGTAATGAATGATACTGTTTTGATTGACAAACTTTGTGGGGAGAATGACTACGTTGATAAGTAAGATTGTTAGGCCTAACACTAGCTCAATCCATGAAATTCCAATCAACACCATTCTTGCATCGCTTTCTGTTTTCCTCAACTTTATTAGCGGCCTGTTTATACACCTTTTGGGCTCGTTTGTTTACTCATAATTTAATGGATACCTGTAGGTCATGGAGGCAGTTGCATTTGTTGGTGCTAGAAGGCGTTTCATTGAGGCTTTAGTCTCCAAATTTGGAAGGCCGCTCGAAGCTGACCCGGTATGTTTATTTATTCAACTGTTGTTTAATTTGATTGATGCTATGGAATGTATACTGATGCTTTGTTTAATCAGATTTTTTGTAGGAAAGCTACCATTCTTGCTGTCACGGGAGTTTTCACATTCCTTGTATGTTTTGAACTATTTGCATGTCGGAATTATGTCAGTTTTCGGTGTTCAACATGTATTTATGGTGACGCCCACAAAAATAGTGGACACAGCCTTCACTGTTAATATTTAGGGAAAGTGTGAAATTACTTTTTTTTTTCTTTATGTTTTTATTTGTTCATTACAAACTTGCATTCTCATGTTGTTGTTGTCGTAGTTGTTTGTTTTTATGTGAAATAAGATATATTTGATATTTTATAAATAAGTTTTTAAAGAGCATGTTTTTAAAGTTAAATAAATAACTTAAGTGATCCCAAATATGCCTTTAATAATTCGAGGAAAAAATTATAATACGTTATCATTATTATCATCATCATTTGCTTAATCTTAACTACTTTGATAAAATTTATGAATTCTTCTTCTTTTTCATATTTATAGAAAACTACTTGAGCTGTTAATTCTACTTTACACGTGTTCTTGCACAACTTGTAATCATATTATCTTTGATTTACTTTTTATGTTTTTATTTCTTACATATTCGTTTTATTACCTCTCTAATTGGTGCATCATATGTCCTCTGATGTTTAGGTCTAAACCTGTACTCCTTTTTTGCCATCTTATTTCTAATATTGCAATTCCTATAATGTCTCTCAAGTATGATTTCTTAATGGCCTGCATTTTATTACCTCTCTAATTGGTGCATCATATGTCCTCTGATGTTTAGGTCTAAACCTTTACTCCTTTTTTGCCATCTTATTTCTAATATTGCAATTCCTATAATGTCTCTCAAGTATGATTTCTTAATGGCCTGCACTTATTATATCATGCATCCATCAGACCGTTCTCATCTATGCCAGTTTCAACTTGTTCAAGTGATTTTCTTGCCATAAAAAAGAATGAATGCATGAAAACTTTAAAATACATCATAATGTTTGCGGAAGAATACGAGAGAATTTAGTAGTGAAAAGAGCAGCAATTGTTGAAAGTTGTTTTTATCGCCTGTTTCCATCTCTTTGTTAAGCCAATCTATAGATATATGGCTTTTCTGGTAATCAAATAGGCCCAAATTTACTTTTCAGGTTCAATTTTACGAACTCCATTTTTTTCACAGTGATAAAGAAAGAGACCTTGAAGCAATTATATTTGCTTTGTACTTCCTCTTTCCTATAGTTCTGACAGCTATGGCTTAGCAATGTCTTTGTGGCAGGTGCACTTTTCACTTTCCACTCATTTCCCTAAGCAACAACCTACATTGATTCTGCAAAGTTCCCAGGTTTGTTGTTTAAATTTATTTCGAGACCAGAGAACAAAAAACTTCAACATGCTTACTAGAGATGCTTGCATAGGATTTCATGTGAATATATCAGCAAACTAAATGTTTGCTTTCATCTATTGTACTCAGTTCTTCATATGTTCAACTGACTTTATTTTTTATGAAGCTTGTCTGAAAGAAACATAGATCTCTATTGTTGTTGATGGTGTTATTTGGCTTTGGCAGGGGGGGAGGGGGGAGGCGCTGGATGGCTTTGCCCAACAAACAACCTAGTGAGCTCTACTCGTAAAGAACCCTGGCTTGTTGGCAGGGAGTTGGTGGGTGGACTCAATGTCGATAAGTCTCATGATAGTGAGCTATAATGACGGCGAGCACTCGAGTGATGAGCTATTCAGAGAAGCAAGTGATCCAAACTAGTGTGGGAAGGTCATCTTATGATGAGACAATGCATGTCATCTTGCGAGATTGAGTCCTTTATCGTGTTAGATTACTAGCTTGTGCATGGAGATGCATTCTTATGTTTCCTTGTTAATTGCTTTGGGTTTTCCTTTATATTCTTTTTGGAGTATGCCATCTTGGTTTCATGTTACAATTTTTTTCCCCCTGTTTTCATTATGTGTGAATGAAGTAAACCAAAAAGTGAACAGTGAAATTGCATGATATGGGAGGAGGAACTGTAGTGATGATGCAGTCCAGGAGGCGCTGGATGGCTTTGCCCAACAAACAACCTAGTGAGCTCTACTCGTAAAGAACCCTGGCTTGTTGGCAGGGAGTTGGTGGGTGGACTCAATGTCGATAAGTCTCATGATAGTGAGCTATAATGACGGCGAGCACTCGAGTGATGAGCTATTCAGAGAAGCAAGTGATCCAAACTAGTGTGGGAAGGTCATCTTATGATGAGACAATGCATGTCATCTTGCGAGATTGAGTCCTTTATCGTGTTAGATTACTAGCTTGTGCATGGAGATGCATTCTTATGTTTCCTTGTTAATTGCTTTGGGTTTTCCTTTATATTCTTTTTGGAGTATGCCATCTTGGTTTCATGTTACAATTTTTTTCCCCCTGTTTTCATTATGTGTGAATGAAGTAAACAAAAAAGTGAACAGTGAAATTGCAGGATATGGGAGGAGGAACTGTAGTGATGATGCAGTCCAGGAGGCGCTGGATGGCTTTGCCCAACAAACAACCTAGTGAGCTCTACTCGTAAAGAACCCTGGCTTGTTGGCAGGGAGTTGGTGGGTGGACTCAATGTCGATAAGTCTCGTGATAGTGAGCTATAATGACGGCGAGCACTCGAGTGATGAGCTATTCAGAGAAGCAAGTGATCCAAACTAGTGTGGGAAGGTCATCTTATGATGAGACAATGCATGTCATCTTGCGAGAGATGAAGAGAAGCATCGGTGTATGACAGTGAAGGAATCGTCTCTTGATAATTTAGTTGCATATTTCTATCGAAGGTGACAAACAATCCCAGGTTTGTAGGTAGAAGGTGCAATGACGGAGTAATGAGGATGTAATGTGATACAATCCCATGCGAAAATGATTTTCTTAATGAAAGTTTGCACGCTTAGATTTAGAGGCAATAATAGGCAAGATCTTATGCGGAATTGAACGATAAGATTAATATTAAAAGGCACTTAGCTTAGGTTAAATCACATGAATAAAAGTTAAGTTCAAAAAGATAGCCAACTTAATCCGACATTGCATACATGGATCGTTCCAACAATAAATTCCAATATTGACAATAAGATTAGTCTATGAAAGATCCCTCACACAACTCTTCTAATTACTAGGCTTTAGCGGAGGAGCGTCAACTTGGTCGTCATGAATTTACTAGACCACAATTGAGAAGCACTACGAAGATAAAAGAGTTGGGGAAAGAGTTTACCGAAAGACGAGAGATTACGAAGCTTCCGGTTTGATCACCAAGGCACTGGATGACGAGTAATCAGCAACATCACGGCTTGGACACGGTTTGGGGAAGAAGTGGACAGCAATACAAGGTTTGGGGAACCTTTTGGACGGCAATCAGAGACCCTCTGAACAGCAAGACAGCCGTAGGAATTCTGCTAGGATGGCTGGTCAGCAACTACAGATGTTTGGGTGGTCACTAGGAAAGCTTGGCCAGCAATTTTGACCCTTGAAAAACTTCGGACAGCAGCCTTTGAGGTTAGAAACGCCTTGGACAACACGTGAGGGATTTCTGGTCAGCAAACAGGAGCAGGTTCTGGCAGCACTATGGCTGGTTGGAACTTCCCGAACAACAATTTCCACTTGGCAAATTGCTGGACAACAATTTACTGCAGCTTTTAAGAGTTAGGTTTTGAATTTTGAATCCCCAACTCATGTGATCAATGCCATAAAGTGGCATTTAATGGACTTAATCCCAAGCAAGGCCGGCGGCTTAGAGAGGGGAGAGGAGGGAATTAATTCACAATCCTGAAATAAATTTCAGAATTTGAAATTTTAGTAGAGAAAACTTATTTGAAATTAATTTCAATTTCAAATAGGATGGGGCATTAAAGGAGCAATCAATGGGGGGGGGGATCCTTCATGGGGGGTGGCGGCATGGTGAGAGGGGAGAGGGAGATTAGGGAGGGACTAAGCGCTTGCCAATTGAATCGATGCCACCTAGGATGAAAAAATTAATAATTCCACCTGCCATAAAATTTTGATTGGATCAATTCAAATACTTTCCTTTTTAGGAATTTTGCAAATATGGAAAGTTTTGAATTTCAAATTTGAAATTCAAAATCGGTAACTCCTTTATTTATTGCTAGGCCACAATCAAGGAGCCATTATGATGATTGACATCTTCATCATGGCTTGGAGCAAGGGGTGGCCGGCGGCCAAAGGAGGAAGAGGGACTTGCCGTCGGGTTTGGGAATTTCTTGATGGAGCTTGGGTTGTAGTGGAGGAAGCTAGCGGGTAAAGTGGTGGATGATGGGATCTCGGGTAGGGCTTGGCGTGGGGAGGAGGAAAACGAGAGTTGGAGAAGAAAAATAAGATAAAATAAACCACGAGTCGAGGACGCTTCCAATGACTGGCGGGTAATGCTTTTGCCCTCACCTTGGGCTTTCCATAGAACTCACACAAAGATCTAGGAGAAAAGAACTCACTAAGAGATCTTCAAGAAGGAACTCACAAAGAGAACACAAGAGCCAAATTTTCATTCAATAATCATCATCCCCTTTTCCAAGAGGAAGGGGAGGGCTTAAATAGCCAAATACATGAGGGAAAATAAAAGACACAATTGCCCCTAGGGAAAACATAAAACAAAGCCCTCAAGTGAGGGTAGAAATGGAAAAGTACAAACAACAAATAAAATACATGAAAATAAATAGACACAATCGTAGCCGTTGATCTTCGATGTCCTCATCAGGATGATATAGAGGGAAATCTTGTGATGATGAGGATGTGTGGTACCTACTAAGCTATGATATCTTAGCTTTTTAAATGGACATTGAAGTCCACCTCCAAATTGGGGATTTCAAGGTACTCATATAGGAGCTTAGAACCTAGAGTCAGTTTAAGTGTTGTCTGCCCTTCCTTGTTATCTCGAGAGGGCAAGGAAGGGTCGTTGGGTGGAGAGCCTAATTATGAGGACAGATGACTGGGAAACATACCTAAGAGAATTAAGTGGGAAGAAAGAGAGAAATTACCTCATACTAGACTATGATTATAGGGTTTGAAACTCTTGGTGCCTCACTAGGGAGTGTGATCAATTGCAATGATCTTCAGATTGGCTCAATAACAACGCTCATTGAGATGCACATGTGGATCAGTAATAATGTTCGAGGAGCGCACAACATCTGGACGCATGCACATGGGACAAAGTGATGATGACAATGAATAGTGCATTGTTGCACATAGAGTGATGCCAGACAATTCTGAGTGTGCGAAGACAAGTGCACACAAAATGATGTGATAGTAGGGAGCGCTCTTGTACGCACAAGATGATGCAATGACAACGAGGGCGAAACATTAGGCTGGTGTACATGAGTGCTATCTTGTTTGAAAGAGTAGTCATGCATACGAGTATGCACTTGTTGTTAGTGCAATGTGTGCAGAAGACTAGAAGTAGCTGTCAGACGCATTGGGGTTGATAGTTGTGAGTGATTGTGAGGCAAATGTTTTCATATGTGTGAAGGGAAAGGACAATGGATGCACATGCGTAGTTGAGCGTACATGTGTTGGGTTATTGGAGGTTCGTGTTGTGCCACTCATGCGATGGTACAGATTCATTCTTACGTCCTATAGTTTCCATTTATTCCACGTTGCAGTAGCTTTTGGCTGTTAAGGCCATAGTATTGTTCTAGATTGGCACTGTTAAGGCAAGCCTGTCACACATCTCTCAACAATGAAGCTGGCCACTTATCATTTTACTATTTAATCTGAACCCAAATTTTCTATCTACCATTAGAGTTTGACGTGGCTCATAGAATTGGTGTACCTAGATTGATTTTAGGACCTCATGTATGCTCCATCAATCTTACTTTGCATTATTATGACAATACAACTCATTGTTTTTTGTTCAACTTGACGTAAACTTGACTTCCACTTATTTTCATAGGTGTTTTATTATGGGCATTAGTAGATCACCTCGGTTTTAGGCCTTTAAGAAGTGGTGATCAAGCATAAATGCTCCATATTTCTATGTGATTCCCAACATGTTTCCTTTATGATGTGAAACAACATGCGATGTACAAGAACTGCTTGGAGATTTTAATATAAGATTGTTAAAGCTTTGCTAGTTATAAAATTAATGCTTCCCCAGAATAAGTTTTCGGAATTATCAAGTCGAAATTAAGTAAAGCATGCGGTTACAACTAGATTAACGGGACAATATCAAATTGACAACATAGACTTAGAGAGTAACGTTATGGGGAGAAACAATAATCCACAATTAACAAATAGAACTTTTCACCTTGGGTCTCTCACTCACTCTCTTGCTGGTGGCACTTTTAGTGGAGGAAGATTGAGAGCAACCGAGCGATGCCACTAGGAGACAAATGGTGCACAAAGTGTAGTCCGTTGGAGTGGTAGCCGGTGGCGGGTAGTCCATGGGATGACTAGTGAGCATCCAACGTCTTGTCAGTTCTTCCTTGATCATCAAAGACGAAGCCGTGGTTGATGTCGGGATCGGCAAGCCTAGGTGAGGCCTTGAGAAGTTTCAGCCTTGATGGGGAAGAGAAAAGCTAAGAAAATTTCAGCCGTGGAGGAGCCTGAAGGGAGGCGGCTGGTTTGGGAGAAGTGAGGGCTGCTGGTTGGCCTAGTTCGGCTAAGAGAGATTGGGAGGGAGAAGGTTTGAATTCATTCCCAAAGAGGAGAGGAATCCAAGGGGTTTGATTGGGAGTATGGGGAGAAATTCGAAATCAATTCCTGTAACTGAAACTGTTACGGGAATTGAATTTGGGGAAGGAATTTAAAAGCCAATTTCAGTTTTAAACATAGAATAATATCTGAAAAAAAAAAAAACTGTAATCACGTTAATGAGGGGAAGGTATTTGGGAGGCTTTTATGAGGGGCTGATGTGGCAAATAGGAAAAGAAGCAATAGGGGTAATATAGCCGGCAATAGAGGAGAGAGAGGGGCTCGGAATTTAGATGGGTGGGGCCCAAGGGATTAACTCAATTAAAACAATCTGATTTGCTGAAATTCAGATTGATTTTAGTTAAGAAACGTTTCAGGTTTAGGGGGATTAATAGAGGGAAAAAGAAAAAAAAAACAAGGTTTGAAATTCAAATGTGAATTAAATCCCAATGAATGATTTCCTAAATAGGTAGAAGCTATCTTAGGAAAGTCACTTAAACCAGGAAATTTGGAATTCATAGAGGATGGGAGGGGGAAGGGCCGGCGGCAAAGCTGGGAAGTTGTGAGTGCCGGCAGGAGGGCTGTCAGCTTGGACGGGGTTACATAAGAAAAGGCCATATAAATAGGTCTCAAAATGACAAGAAAGCAAAAGACTAAAATGCCTCTCGGGCTACAATAATGACTAAATACCCATAAGGGCAAAAACGGAAAAACATAAAAATCAAATAAACTACTACATAAAATGACTCAAAATAAAACTCATGATCGTGGCCGTTGATCTCCGGCGTCTCCTGATGGTACATGTGTCGAAATATCTGACGATGTCCTCATCACTTTAAGTTAATCCTTGTGAGTTGCCGAAAAGATTTTTGGGTTATCTTAACTCCACTGATCGGTTGGATTCTTTATCCTGTTCCTTAAAATTCTTATCTGAAATGTATATTTGTTACTCTATTTTTTCATGTTATTTGTATCTTATCTAGAAAATTCATAAAAGTTCTTCATATCGATCTTTTTGTGCAGTATTGCATCGCTTAGCAAATTTGTAATAGAAATCCTTAACTTCAAACTTCCTGTTCCAATATTTATTTGAACCAAGAGAAAAATTTGAACCACAAATCCCTCTGACTCCAATGATCCCAAATGGATCCGAAAATTTCATAAAGCATGAAAGAACACATGCTATTACTGTTGTACAATAAGGACAAGAAGCGCACGCAAGAATCCACGTATATAGGAATTTTAGCATAATCACATGAGTTATATGTTCGAGATATAAAAATGTGAGTGCAGATATGCGTCACTTATATCCATCATTTGTATTAATCTTCACTGTATTTTCTTTGATAACTTGTTAGCCAAACGGATTTTAAAGAGAACATTGGATATGAGAATTGAAGCATTTGTTACATCTCCAACAGATATTTTAGGGTCTCAGTGTTTGGCTTACACAAATTAGATGCATATTCAAAGTGTCGTTTTATTGATTTCGATCATGTATGGAATGCTTGATACATCTTTCATTTTGATGCATTCTTTAATTGTCAGTAGAGGCATGTTTTATTTTCTTTTTAAAGCATTTATTTGGAGAATATTAATTTTATAAAAAGGAGAACAACTCTGTTTTGAACATTAAGACCATATTGGCAACAACTGCAGCACTTCAATTCTCAAGGAGCGCCAATAATGTCACCTCCTTTAAATAATTATCCATGGAGCCCTAGATGGGATGCAGCAGAGATGGTTGAACGCATATTGTAAGAATGATCGAAATGTTGATTTTTTTTAATCTGCTCCCGCTCCCATTGATTTCTTAAGAAACTTGTGTTGCAGTGATTTTCTTGTCAAAGAATGTACGAGCTTCAAGACTTACTGCCTGGATGCGGTGGTTCAGTAATCCCTCCCGACATGGCATCTCTTCTAGAGGTATGCTTCTCAGCAAACTAGCACGTATTGTTTGTTAGATGTATTTCTAAAACGTTCCATCATGTTGTGGATTGCTACAAACTGCATTTTGTGGGACACATTTTTAAAAGAAAATTAATTAAAAAAAAATTATCGAAGGGAGTACTGTTTGGCCTAGGGGTGTCAATAATTGACACGACCCGAAAACCCGACTCAAACTCGACCCAAAAATTTCGGGTTAGGGTCAACCTGTTTTGCAAACGGGTCAGGTTTGGATTCTCGGATTTGACAAGTTTGAAAAAATGGATTGAGTTCGGGTTGACTTGGAAACCCATTTGAAACGAGTTGCCCGCGCATCTCGTCCAAGCTGCCCACGTGTCGTGCCGACTACTCGCTGTCCGAGTCTGCCCACTACCCGCTGTGCACGAGTTGTGTCGCCCGGCCACCCGCTATCGACGCGAGCCTCGCCGTCCGCCTTACCGCTGTCGTCGTTCAGCCTTGTCACGTCAGATTCGGGTTTGCACTTCTGACATGTTTATATAATAGGTTCAGGTTAGGGTCAACCCGTTTGAACCCGGGTCAGTTCCGGATTCGACCCAACCCGAAACCCTATGTTAACACCCCTAGCTTGGCCGCATCATCTCTCTTGTAGGCGCTTGGAAATTTTGTAAAGGCACCATAGTTCAAACAATATTGTCGTCGGTTAAGGACAAAGATAAGATTGTAGGAACAAAGCATCAAACATTGTTCGGTCTTTCTTGGACGAGGATAAGATCTCTGATCATAATAGACGATAATATATATATATATATAGCTCAATTATAAACCAAAACCCTGAGCCCCAAAAATTAACTGAACTCTTCTTTTGCCTCTCTGTCGCCTTTGTAAGTTGACTTATCCTGGATCAAATTTGACATCGCGAGAAGCGCATGATGAATACCTAATCTGCCATGAACCGACGTGCAGCAACAGTTTGTTGCACGTTGTAAAACATGTATGCAAGAAATGAGTGGAGAAGCGTACTACCATTCTAGATGAAAATTGATGGAACAATATTGTTGATCTCATCGACAGATACCATCAGACTATTCGCTTTAATTGATCAAGGTTATAGCGTGATGAGGTGTAACTCTGGCATCAGACATGACGGCTGTAACTCGGTAATGTGGAAAATTGCTGGCTGCGTTTTTCTTTGGGATTTGGAATTTGGGATGGCTTCCTCTTGGGTGGTTGTTTTTGGATCTAATTGACCCTATGGAGAAATTATTTTGTGCGGATGCCGGACATAGCTCTACGTCCGGATGCCGCGGTACCAAACAATACAAGTGGGGATACCAAGCCACAGTACAGTAAAAGGGCGACGTGGTGCATTCTAATTGGTCTCCGGACGACAGAAAGCGTTCGGCGTCCGCACAGAATAATTTTTCCTATGTATGATGAGGAAAATCTTTTGGACGAATAGAGGTTAGTTTCCAAAAATAGAGGTTAGTTTTCTGTTTTAATTTCACCCAACCAACTTCTTCTTTCCACTCTCCTTGTCTCCCATTCTTATTTATAAATTCTAAATTTTATTGTTTTATAAGTGAGTTCCTACTCAATTCATATCTATAAATTTATCCTTCTAAGATTATTATTTAAATATTCTTGAGATTCTCATCAGTCATTTCTTATTTAGATAGAATTATAATCTACTACACTTCTTTGTTGCACATGCGACTTACAATGCCATTAAAAATGGCAGCTCTTTAATGGCTTATTGAATATTTTCAGCTCTGCAAATATTAGATTTTCAGCTAAGTGTTCAATTTCTTTCTGTAATTTCAATTCGGATGTATAGATTAGGGGAGCAATTTATTCCACATTTTGGAGATGGAAGATTGAAGCAAACACTTCCATGCACCTTCTACTTATTCCTGTAAAGAGCGAGATCATATTCGAGCTTCTTGGCAACTGCTACAAATGGGTCTTCACAAACATGCGGTATGTGTTGTTTATGTAATCGTGTCTGTACAAAGTTGCACCATGAAATTATTAAAAAAAAAAAATCGAAGCTTCTATGGCAATTTGTATTTTCCCCTCATTTTAAGTTTTAACAAACCTCAAAGGCTTATAACTTGTAAATTTGGTTTTCTTGTAAATACTAGATTTATCTTAATTATTAGACCAAATTATCTATTTCAGGGTTGTTTGGTTTGTTGAGAAATGAATGCAGAATGTAGTGTATTTGAAATGTTTGAAGTTATTTGGATGAGTGTAAAAGAAATACATGAGATTTTATTTTTTGTGCTCAATTTGAAGTAAAATGAATGCAATATAGTAAAATGATTGTGGTGATTAATAATGGTGGATGACAATTGGTCAAGAGTGAGCGGTGGCAACAGGCGATCCAGTGATGGTAGATTGGCGAAGGGTGGCAATGGTTGACAATGCTAATGCAGTTAAATAATTCGATCAAAATTGTAAGTTTATAACACAAAAAATGATCTAGAGTGTAAAAAGAGCTCACTGAAATTTTAGATTGCATGTGTCGTCAAACTAGATATTTAAATTTTGTTTTACATTTTATATTTTCTTTTAGCAAATCAAATTGCCTCTAAATGTCAAAATTTTCTTTGCATAAATTTTCTCATATAATTTATTCATGCTAATTTTTTCTATTCATTTTCTTGGATCTATTGTTCAGAATGTTGGTGAAATAGATGGGGATATTATCAGTAGAGTTCAAGTTGAATGGTTGGAGTAGAGGAATGCATTGAGCTTGTTGTGTGATAGAATAGTTCTCCTCAAACGTAAGAGAAAGTTCTATAAGATGGTGGTGAGACCTACAATGTTTTATGGTGTTGAATGTTGGCCATTAGAAGAGAAGCATAATACTAAGATAAGTTTTGCATAGATGAGGATGCTTAGGTGGATGAGTGGCTTTACCCTTAGAGATAGGATACAAAATGATCATATACATGAAAAGGTTGGAGTAGCTCTAGTGGAAGATAAGATTAGAGAGAGTCACTTTAGATGATTTGGTCACATAAAATGGTGGCCTTCCGATGATCTAGTTAGAAAAATAGATGTATTAGATTTGACTTATGTTAAGAAATGTAGACGTAGGCCTAAAAATGCTTGGTTAGAAAATATTAGAAAAGATCTTGCTATATTAGATTTAAACGAGATTCAGACTTTTAACATGACACAATGGAGAAAAATGAATCACGTAGTCGACCCCACGTAGTGGGACAAAGGCCTGATATTATTGTTGTTGTATTTCTTCCAAATTAATAATTAGTGGTTGGCAAAATATTGTTCAATTGGCTGAGTTTGATTTGATTTATTTTTAGATTTGGGTCTTTGCAAACTCATAATCAAATCAAACTAAAACTTGTAAGGTATATCTTAGGCCATTCAATTAAAAAAAGTTTTATTTAAATTTTATATTTATGAACTTTTGTTTTACTTTTATTTCATTTTAATTGAACTAAATAAATCAAACAAAAATATTAATTTTAACTAAATCAAATAAAACAAATTCAGATAATAGTTTCTTTTTTTATAACGCACATGTAAAAACATAAGGCTAAAATTGAATGGGTTGGTTCTACCTGAGGCAGTTTGATTTGTAAACTATATTTTTTATATTCAAATAAAATGCTGTGCACTTCTAGTTTGTGTTTACAATTTATGAATTTTACTTTAATAAATGCACACTGTTGTTTTTCCTTATTAATCAGTTGTTTTGAGTGAAGTTAGTAGACTTTATTTGGAATAATTTTCTTATTATTTTCTTTATAAATTGTAATTATAATTTCTGTTTAATCATTGCTTTTAAAAAAATTATATTAGGAAGTTATTTTTTGTAATATTTTTAAAAAATTATTTTCTCTATAATAACTTTATAAAATAATAAGAAGTCTAAAAAATAACCTTAGCCAATTGTCTCAGTTTTTATCACCAGAATAGACAAATTTTTATGTAAGAAATGTGTTGTAATAAGATGGCAACAAGGCACAAGGGTCGGTTAGGAGGTTGGGATTCAGTGTTACTTAGAGGAAGATATAGTGTAATTCTAGTAAGATTTATGGTGCAACCTATGCAATTGCTATGAAGGTTCTGATTAATGATCATCATATTGTAGATCTCAATGTTATGAGCACATTGTTAATAATGGATTAAAGTTTTGATATTGTTAAGACAGCTAATGTTGAAAAAATGATGTATGATTAAGGGAATTAATACAGATTGTTTGATGGAGTATTTTTTATTTCAACTATATTTATAAAATATGTCACTTTTAAAAAGTAGAAATAGTTTCTCACTCATATACTCTATATGAAGGAGACCATATGGGCTTGAGAAATAAGAAAGCGTAGAAGTTTGAAGAATCTTAGAGCTCTATCGGACTATCACCTGATGACCACTACCAAACAACGACCCCACCATCCGATTATCGATTATTGCTATTAAAAGTCCATTTATGGACCATTATAGTCTGGCCATCATTTATGGATCATCGACGTCTAACTATCACCATCTAACTACGTTCGCCTAACATTTATCATTGTATTGCCATCACTCAACCATTCTTGTCAAACCAATGTCACCAGACCTCTATCATTCGACATCATTGCCTAATATTGTCCTCTATCCATCGTCTCCTAACAACAATTCTCCAATTACCATTGGCCAATTGTGATTTATCCACCATTGAAGAACTATGGTTCTCTAGCCATCATCCTCTAATTATGGTTCTCCAAGTACCATTGCTCAATTAGAATTCTTGTAATGTCATCGTTTAATTATAATCATCGAGCCACCATTAGCCAAATATGGATATTTAGCCACCTTCACCCAACTATGGTTATAAATAATTATCTGACCACTATCACTCTTATAATATCTTGACCACCACCAATAGACAACCATCGTCTAAACACTTGCTCGACTATGATATTCTAACCAACATTGTTCGATTATGATCATCATCACCCGACTATGATAATCTGACTATTGTTGCCCAACTATTGTCACCCAACCACTATCACCCGACTAATATCCTTCAACCATTGTCATTTGAATATGATCCTTCAATCATTGTCACTCGACTAAAATCCTCCAACAACCTTCAGTCGACCACAATCCTTCGATAAGTGTTCCCTAACTATATTCCTCAAGCCACCATTACCTATTTATGATTCTTCGACCAACATCGCCCAACTATAGTTCAAATTTGACCTTTGTCCCTCAATTATGATCCTCCGACAACTTTTGATCAATGATGGTCAATCGACCAAATTTGCCTAGTTATGATCATTTGATCACCATTACTTGATTATGATCCTTTGACCATAGTCAGCGCCTAACTATGACCTTCCGTACATATTCATCCAAGTACGATCATTTAACCTTCATCATCTGACTATAATTTTCTAATCACCATCATCTATCTTTGGCCTTCCAATTACTGCTATCTCACTATTGTCTCCTAACCATTCAACACCAACATTGATTCCCACTAACTTCATCGCTTTCCATCCCCAACAATATCGATGCATGTTATCACTTATATGATTGATTTATAACTTCATCTTAAAGGTTGACATGCACGAACTACATTGCCACCAAGATTGATATACATCATCGCTCATATTGTCGATGCATACATCAACACTAAACCAAAATTTTGATTTTAACACCAAGATTTATATTAGATTAGTTGTCCTTTAGTATCCTTTCTTGAAAGGAGAAACACCGAACAAATAACAAATGATCCCTTGAAGACAACTCCAATACCTCAAGTCTCTTACAACTTTTACTACAGAATCAATCCTCAATAATTAATAATTACTATATTGTATTAATTCCTCCACCAATTATAAAAAGGGCACAATTTGTAACTAACAATATATGCTAATGAAATCTTTTTAATTAGGTTAGATCTTATGGGTTTTTTTTTTATCTTTTTTGTGATTTCTCATGTAAAAAAGTTGGTGTTTCATACATCTCTTCTTTTTTCTGTATATGTGAGGGACTTTTATGCAAGGTTAAGACATTAAAAATTGTCTCTCTATGACCATGAACATTCTAGCATATAATAGTTGTACATCGTCTATGAAAAATGATTATGGGATAGGGGCAACCTTTACTATAATCTCAAAAGTTCGTTTACATCAACTTCATGGATGCATTTGTAATAAGCAACCCCTTTGCCATATATTATTTCATTAGTTCTAGAAGTGAAAAGCCAAGATTGAGGGGAAACCTCACTTATAACAAAAATAGGATGAGAACTCTGGGATAATTATTTACAAACTTTTCTTTTTTATCATTTAGTGTTGCAGTAGTTCTTGAATTTTTATCCTATCAAATAATAATATATTCAAAGTAAAAATATTATAATCAAACCGGGAGATGATTATTGTAATCTAATCATCCTCAATTTCAGGGTCGAGTCAACCACTTGTAATTTAAGCAAATATCAATGCAATTCTTTCAACTGGGTGTGACACCGTGATTTTTCCCTTTTTAAGAGTTCTCACGTAAAAATTATAGTGTTTTTTCTTTTCTGTTTGTGTGCTGGATATCCCTAAAAGGCTAAGATTAAAAATTTTCTAACTCTTTCATCGCATATATTCTAGCTTTCAATATATATATATATATATATGACCAGCTTTTTTAAATAAAATAAATTTAAAATTTTGTACTGATATTAATTCAGCGGTCAAATACAGCGGTCAAATATTACTGTATTGACTTGCAAATTGAAACCTTCAATCACCGAAAATATTCACAGCGATAAATTGACAGCACCCACATGCAATTCATGCCTCTCCTCCCTCTTTCTTATAGCATTCATTGTTCCAACCTCCCATATCCACAGTACCACTTGCAAAATTACATAACCATCCATAATAAAATAAGCTACCATATCCATATGATGTAATTGCCTATATAATATTAGCTCATCTTGGTTCCTTCTGATCTGACTCTCACACCAAATCACCTAATCATTAGCACGAATTCCCAAAACCATTTTCATCACAACAATACAGAATTCTTCCACAAAAAAAAACAAATTTACAGCGAATGATCAAATGAGTGCAACCACGTGCCATTCCTCTTTCTTCCCCTTCAATCATTTATTGCTACGGACCATCCATCAATCCCAATAACCATCCACAAAAAGGAAAAATAAATCAAATGCAGTAATTTCATTAAGCGATAACTACCACGGCCAACAACACGGCGGCAACGCCGCCGGCGAACACGAACCTGGTCCCTGAAGCGGCATTGTCGTCGGCAGCCAGATCTGCCGGCGCAGCGTCCGGCGAGTCCACCGGTGTCTCCGCAACCTGCTTCCCCTTTTTCTTTTTGCTCTTCGCTGGCGCCGGCTCCGGCGCTTCCGTTTCTTCCGGTTTAAAGAGCTCCAGCGGCTGCAACACCTTGTCGACTTCGTAAACAGCCACGGGATCCTGATCAATCAACGTCGATGTGATGGTTGCCGTGCTTACGCCTGTCTCGAGCGTTACCTTCTCGCCGTCATCCTGTACCGTGAAATTGTAGTTCTTCTTAGCTCCACCGTCGGTGGCGAGCGTTGTCACTACGCCGTTGTTTGATTTAAGCCCCTGCAAAGAGCTGTAAACGGGGTATCCATGGTAGAGCAGGAGAGAGGCCTTACCATCGGCGGTGAGATTTTTGTACACGGGCAAAAATGCCTTGACGGCAGGATCGCTCGGACAGAACACTGTCAGCCCTCCTTCTGCACTTTCCGTGAAAGTCTTGAGCGTGTCGGAATCGGCAGAAAGAAGGCCGGCGAAGAGCGCGCAGCCTTTGCGGGTCATTAGATCGGTGAGATTGACGGGTGCGGGCGCGGCGGCGGGAGCTTCGGCCTCCGGGGATGAAAGGGGCTTGCTGATCTGTATGATGGAGAGGTTGTAGGGTTGCTCGTTTAGGGATTTGACGAAACTTGAAGAAGGAGGTGGAGGGGCTGAGGAATCATCGGAAGTAGCGGAGAAGGATACTAGACCGGCGCGGTGGTCGGTGATGTTGACGAAGCCGGAAGTGCCGGGGGCAGCACCAGTGGCTTGGAAGAGTGAGGAGGCGAGGGCGGTTCCATGAGTGATCTGGTGGAGCTTCTTGGCGCCGTAGTAGTCGACGAGGACGTGGAGGGAAAGGACGTTTTTGAGGGTGGGGAGGGAGAGGTGTTTGGCGAGGAGAGGGGACATGGCGGCGTTGTCGATGGCGAGGACAGTGATGGTTTGACGGCGGTTGATTTCGGAGGCTAGGTGGGTGGCGGTGAGGTAGTGATTGAAGGTGGAGAAGTCGGGGTGGGTTGCGAGGATTTTTGTGATGTTGAAGCCGTGGGTTGCGGACGGCGAGGTGGCCGCCAGAAGAAGGAGGAAGGGGAGGAGGAAAGGAGGTGGAGACGGCCGCCGCATTTTGGAGGGAATTTAGTGTGAGCGGACTGAGACGACGAAGGAGACAGACGCGGGGAGGAGATGTAGCCTTAAGTAGTAGAAGGAGACAACCGGAGTAGGGTTGGAGGGGTAAATTTTTTTTGGGAAATTTACATACATACCACTTTGTAATATCTTATTTACATATTTAACACTAAAACTTTAATATTACATGAATGTCACCTTATATTATTTTAATATCAAATATACCACTTATATTTCTTTCCTACCTCTCATATATTTCATTTCTACCACTTATATTTGGTATGAAAATGAACTATGGGTCGTATGTATGTAATATTAAAGTTTTAGGTGTTAAATATGTAAATAGCATATTATTAAGTGGTATGTATGTAAATCTCCCTTTTTTTTTAAATACTTCATGTAAGAAAAATATTAGATTATATAACATTTTATTCAAATTATATAATTTTTTTTACAAAAGTAAACTAAAATTGTTATCAGATTTATGTTTAGTTTGGGGCGGCTTATTTACTATTTCTAAAAAAAAAATTTAATAAAAATTTTAATTTGTATATTAAAAAATTGTTTTAAGACGCAATAAAAAAGTCGTCCCAAATGACTAATGCTATCAACCCATAGTTTTTTTTACACGTTAAATTGGTCTGAGTTATTAATATATAAATTTTTACACTGACTTTTAATATTTATTTATTTAATAAACAATTAATATAGAAGGTCCTGTCAAACAAAAAATTAATTGCATGTTATCTTGTATTGTAAATATTAATTAGATTTTTTGTGGGGTATTTTTAATAAATTTTGCATGATTAAGACCTCAACAAGTATTTACATAGCGTTTTTTCACCATAATTTCTTATGCACGAAAATTAAAGAATATATAATAAAGGAATAATAATAGATTTTTTTAGCTCTTTTGGGGAGGACAGAATCGTAAATTGAAAGAAGGGGAAGTGCATTGTTTAAAGCAAGTCGAGAACGTGGTGGGCCCCACTTCATGCAGCTGTATATGCAAAAACGCCACCGCAGGCAAATGGTTGAGGGGAGGATATGACAGAGAAAATTATACTACTACCTGAGCTACACAAGCAAATCCTATGGGTAGTTGAATATCCACCATTAAACTAAGCTTAATTGCTTCATCAAGATTCGTGCTGTATCTACGGGCGATGCTACTGATAGGATTTCTATGCATAGCGTACTGATAAACTTGTCGACCATCCACCGACACAGAGGAGCTGTGCGGGATCGTGCGGGCTGGGTTGGAGCCAGAAAGGACGATGCCAATCAACGGACATGATTTCTCAGTTTGACGGCAGCGTCAGGTGACTAAAACAGCTTCTTTTCAGATGATTAGAATTCATAAGCCGCCAACGCAAGGCAAGTATATGCTCTCAACCATCTTAAATATTTAATTGAAAAAAATCACCCTTTAATTATATATAGATTTCAATTATTTTATAATAGTTTTTAAAATTTTAAATTTTAGATAAAAAGTAAAAAAAATGATAGAATTTTTTAATGATTTTGAATCTTTGAGATAATTTGTCTTTTTCGAATAACTTTATCAATTTTTTTTTTAATTTTTCAGATAACAATTATAATTTTCTTTGGATACTATTTTCTCATTATATTTTTAAATTTTTTATGATAAAAAGTTGTTTTTTACAATCAGAATAACTAAGGCTTCGTTTGGGACGGCTTTCTTACTGGTTCTTAAGGCAACTTTTTAGTATAAAAATTTTAATTTTTAAACTAAAAAGCTGTTTTAAGAAGCAATAAGAAAACAGTCCCAAATAAAGTTTAAAGTTTTATTTGGGATAGTTTTTTTGTTAATTTCTAAAATAACTTTTTTATACAAAAATTTCTTAAATTAAAAAATTTTATACTCAAAAAAACTGCTTTAGAAAGCAGAACGAAAATTATCCCAAATAATCTTCTACTGCAGTCATATGAAACAAATCAATACTTTCATGAACTTGAATTTTGGCATCGGCCCAAATAAAATTATCAATTTTCGTACAACTTGGGCTCACTCGGATTTAGCCCTATTCTTGCTAGTTATAAAACAAGCAATAATAGAGTGGTTGGGTGTGGCTTAAAATCCAACCAAACAACAAAGTTTGGTTAAAATTGTTTGATAAAACCCATCAAAAATGACAAATCTGTTGGTCCGATTTGAGAAAACCTTAACCCTCTTTAGACATAATGTGGCCACTGATAGCTCAAGCTATTAAAATGATACTCAAAAGTAAAATACATATGGTATGGTACTGTGATTAAATAATTATCAGTAATTTGCTTGTTCTAGTCGATAATCATGTTTGAAGGCACTCACTTGTGTTCGTGAGGAAAAATTATTACGTACGAATTCCGGATTTCATTTGGATCTGACCAGGTGGAGCTACGTGATTTTTTTGCTCTCTATTGTACGCAATGTGTGTACAAGAGAGAGAATTCACAAAAAAGCCTATGTGGCTTCACCTGATTGGAGTCCGGACGAAAAGCTACATCTTGACTCTGTAAATAGTAATTTCTCGTTGGTTAGAGGGACATTAGCTAAGGGATAGGAATTACATCGAGATTTTTTGATATATTTTAAATCAGAATAGACTTCAATAGACCTGTCAATTTCGAGTCACGGGTCGGGTTTGGGTCAAACCCGGAACTGACCCAGCATTATTCGGGTTCGGGTCAAACGACCCATTTTTACAAACGGGTCGATTTTCCGGACCCGCACCCCACTCGCTTTGGGTTCGATTCAACCCGACCCGACCCGCTTCGGTTCGATTTTTCGAGTTCCCACATAGTGCAACGAGAAGTTGGCAGCGGTGCAGCTGCGGCAGTGCCGGCGAGGCAACGGGTCCGATGCAAGCGGCGACTCGAGGCTTGATGCGACACGCCGATACAAGCTGTGACGCGACGGGACTCGATGCGGGCTGTGGGGCAGGCGGGTAGCCCGGGTAGGCGGGTCGTGGGGTAGTCAGACAGCCGGGGCAGGCAGGGCACGGGGCAGGTTGGCAGACTCGGGCAGAGCGGGCAGGGCCGATTTCAGGGTCATTCCGAGTCATTCCCGGGTTGCCGGGTCAACCCGAACCCGACCCGGTTTTGCAAATGGGTCGATTTTCTGGACTCGAACCCGACTTGCTTAGGTTTTGGGTCAACCCAAACCCGAAATTTTCGGGTCAAGTCCAATATTGACAGATCTAGACTTCAAAGCTCTTATATTTATGTTGGAATTATTGTCATTCAGAATATCATATATAGCATTAATCATAGCACAAATCCTGAGGCTTTGAAACCAATCCCAATATAAAACTCAGAGGATATCTTGACACAATTGTTTTCTTAGCTAAAACTTTCATGAACTCACTTTGGTCAGCATGTTGCATCATTAGTCTAATACAATAGCAAAAACATTATGCCAGAATATTCTGATATTTTTTATATAAAGATGGGATTATTTTTATTTCATGTCTTTGATGTCATGCGTGCATCATATATTATTTTTCAATACAACTATAGTTAAAACTATTACATAAATATAACTAAATTAATAATCTATGACAAGTAATCATAATATAGAAAAATAATTATGAATGTCTAATAATTTTATTGTATTTTTTTAAATTTTAGGTTTGTTTGGGAGGGCTTTTTAATGCTTTTTAAAATAGCTTTTAGTACAAATTTTTTACTAAAATTTTACTTTAAAAAGCATTAAGAAAGATATTCCAATATAAGCCTTACTCGTCTTTTCTAATAATTTAATTATATTAAAGAATAATATGACTCATAAAATAAATATAAATATATTTAAAATAATTTTTTCTAATGAAAAATAAATCATGACATTTGACATAATTTTGTTAAGAAGCTTAATTATTATCTTATAAAATAGAAGAAGACGTGTCTTTTGATTTTGTAAAATGTAAAGCATGTCTTATATCACAAAATAACATCACGCTATCTTTTTTTTTTTTTTAATAAAAATTATTTTTAAAGAATGCTTCTCACGTTTCTAAAATAATTAATTATGACATATTATATTAATAGAATTTGATGTGTAAGATAGTATTTAATAAAAAACTTTTCTTTTTTTTAATGATATAAAAATAAAAAATGGTTAAATATAAAAAATATGATCGGATATTCTAATTTAAAACATATTATTACCCCATAAAATTTTGTCACATATTAAAAAATTAGGATTTTATACTAAAAATTTAAATTTAGATAAAAGCATTCTAAACTTTCATTTAAAGCTTTTCAAAACTACTACAAATATATCAATATACCAAATTGAGATAAATATAATATTAAGCATTATTACGTGTTATAATATTCGTGATAATACAGCAGATTTATACAAATATTCAACTCATGAACAGATAAATGAAAAAAGCATAAATGACACTCAATTTTTTACGTTGAAAACTCAAAAAGAGAAAAAAATTGCAGTATCTGACCCCTTAAAATAATTCGACCCCCTTAAAATATTCCCTCCCCCAGTCGAAATTTAGATAAGTTCGCATCAGGTATTTCTCGTACAAGCATATCTTCATAGAGTATATTCATTTTTCATAATATATATAAACATTAACTTAATTAATTGAATATGAATATGAAAATCAGCTAAAGTAATCTTAAAGTTGGCCTCCCCTTTAAAATTTTTTTGACTTCGCTATCTAAATGCGTATCAAAAGACTTCCATCGTTGTGACATAAATTATCAGAATATTCTTACATAATCTTTTTGTCGTGTTAAATTTTTATCATAATTAATGTCTTAACAAGATTTTTTTTAATTAAATTATACTTAAATGTGTTTAATAAATTGGTAAAAAGGGTGGCCGACACTTAATTGCCAGCTAAGTAATAGCTGCGCAATAATTTCAGTAGAACAAAAGCCATAATCTTCAGGTAAGTTGTTTTCATGTCAACATCAAATCTTCGGAGATAACACGCAGTGATTGTGGCGTGGAACATTCAAGTTTGAAGAGAAAGACCATTAATGGAAAATGATTTTTAAGAGAAATTATATTATCTTCAACAGATTTGAG